GGAACAGTTAAATGATTACTGAACACTAACAAATCCCAAAGCACTCAGGTGTTATGTCGGTGGGCTCCTGTCTTTGTGGCTGTGGGTGTGTGTATGCATGGTTTTCTTCCTTTTCCTGTATCCAATTTTCTAGCTTTCTTAGATGGGAATCCGGAGTCCAGTTCTGAGGGTATTAGATGCTCCGTAAATGTGGTTGTCTGATTGATCTCCTTGTGTTTATTCTTGGGAATCTCATCTTGAGGAACATCGCTTCTAGTCTTGGATAGCCTTCAACAGAGTGGGAGAGAACAAATAGGAAATGTGTAATTAGAGTCACGGATACGTTTGGTATTTCAGGATGTCACAGAGGGGAGGGAGGGGCCCCTGATCATGCTGCCTGATGATCATAATGGGGAAAAGCTTTCTGGAGGAGGTGAGGCTTGGATGAGTTAAGAAGCACAAAGTTGCAATGAAAAAGAATAGTGATTTTGCAAATAGAGGGCAGCTAAACCTTAATGTAATACTTGTACAAGGTGGGAAGCAGAAAAAAACCCAGAATGGAGATTGGGATGAAGGTATGCTTGATTGTTAATGAAGCTCACAGTGAAAGATTCCTCAGTTCTGTGGCCATAAGTAAAGCCTGCCAAGGTGAGATCTGGAATGCAGCATATGGAAGAAATTCTCTTGGTGAATAGATGAAATATTGAATTCACACATTGTGTGAGCTGTGACTGTACATCTTAAAACATCTGAAAAAGCATCTTTAGTATTTAAAGAATAATTAATTTCAAAAATTTAACAGCCACATTCAGAAAATGACACTTTTAGTCATAAATGGATTAAATATTTAAGGAATTCATCTTTCTTTGTACTGTTGGAGAATTATTCAGGCTTAGTTAAACTCACAAAAATCTTCTTAAGGTAACCTGGTAAGTGACAGGAATATAACAGTAACGTGAGAAAAGTTTAATTTGCAACAGTGGAGTCCAGGTTTAATATTCTTCCTTGGCAATTGTAGGTAGGTTAAGCCCAGGCTCTTAAGTTCTGTCTGAAAGATGAAACAATCCAAAACTTAAAAAAAAATTTTTTAGGATACTCATACATCGATCCCACTTCACAAAAACAATTGTTTTTTTTTTTTTTCTAATTAATATCCAGATACAATACAGTCCGGCTGCATGGNGTTAAGCCCAGGCTCTTAAGTTCTGTCTGAAAGATGAAACAATCCAAAACTTAAAAAAAAATTTTTTAGGATACTCATACATCGATCCCACTTCACAAAAACAATTGTTTTTTTTTTTTTTCTAATTAATATCCAGATACAATACAGTCCGGCTGCATGGATATAAATTATGCATGCTCATTTTTAATCTAACAAAAATTCTCCTATGCAAAGACATAATAAACGTCTCCCCACTGTTTTTAAATGGAATTTAGATAATTTGACTGCACATAGCCACTCTGTATGTGCACGTTACACTTGTATATGTATATTTATGACTGTAAATGCATATCTGTATTAGTTTTCTATGACTGCCATAAAAAAATAGCACAGGCTGGGTGGCTTAAACAACAGAAATTAATTTTCTCACAGTTCTGGAAGTGAGAAGTTCAAGATCAAGGTGCTGGAAAATTCAGTTTCTGGGGAAGCCTCTCTTCCAGGCTGGTAGACAGCTGCCTTCTTGCTGTGTCCTCCCATGGTCTTTTCTCTGTGCACATGCACTCCTGGTGT